AACAATCGGATAATTATAATATTATTTGTTTGTTTTAATCAAAGTTTTTGTTTTGTTGTTTCGCTATTTAGTTGTTGTTATAAATGCGACAAAAATTTATAACAAATACGGTTTAATTGTGTGATTAAAACAAATAGCAAATAATCTGTAATTATCAGATTGCTATCAGAACTCATTTGCTAAATAAACAACACTTTTATACATACAATATATAAAGTACTTTATATTACAAGTAATTAACAAATTTTTGATATTAAATTGTTTCAATTCTACCCTTATTTACAAAAAGTGTTTAAAAAATTGTATTAATTATTCCTTATCGGGAAAAATAAAGTAAAATTGATATCAAAATTTAACAATTAATTCGATTTAAACTTTTAATTAAATACAAAAAAGTTTACAAATAACGTTATATTAAACTTGATCTGATTCTTGAAGCAATTTATTTATATAACGATCGCTTAATATATAATTATAACGATTTAAATATCAATTTATAAAATATAAAGTGAATTCATTTCAACACATTTTTGCGCAAGAATTTTACAAAAACTATATTAATATCAATAAAATTAAAACATATTTTCCTCACAAACTTTTTATAACTTAAGGTATAATTGAATTGTCAGTGATTTCAGCGCAAAATTAATCACTGAATTTATTATGTAATAATACTTTACAGTGTATTCACTACTATAACCAGTGTTTTGTGCCAATGGTATTGAAAATTATATGAATTATTAAAATAATTACTATGTTTTCATACAAAGAGAATAGCGTTTAAAAATTAAAGCTATTATATATGTCTTACTTATAATGTATATTATTATTACATAAATTGATTATAAATTACACTTAAATTAAAGGGTGTTTTGTGTTTGAAAATACAAAAAAAATGAGATTCAGATTATTTGACACAATTGATAATCCTGTAGAAAACTAATCATATATTATATATTTTAATGTAATAATTATATTAATATCATAATAATGTATATAGTTTTTTTGATTGATCAGTCCATTGTGTTTATATGTTTTCCAAAAACTATTTATAATAATTTTATTATACATTTATTGGTTATAATTCAGATTTAGTTATATATTTGTTGGTTTGTTTGTCCAAAAACTATATTAACAAATGTTTAGTTAAATATAAAATTAAGTGACTGGATAAATTCAATGGATAAATAATAATTATTGCTAAAAATATACATAAAATAAATATATTTGCAGCTATTTATTGGCCATAAATGGTTTTAAACAATTTATTTATTGATTTATTTATAATAAAACTTTTGTACTTAAAAATTAGTACACTTTTTGGGTTAAACATAAGTTCACTGTCTTTTAAATCAATTTTTGTTGAATATTTGCATTTAATTTTACATTTCTTGTTTTACCATAATATGCTGTATTCAATGGGTTTTGTCATTACAATTATCCCAATTCAACATAAATTATAATTTAAAATAATATTTTTAATACAAATATTTTGAAAATTAAAAGTTTTAATAATATTTTAATACTATTTAATCCTAAAAGATGAAAGTAGCTATTTAGTTGAATAAATTAAATAATTTCAAAATGATTTGTAATATATTTTTTACATTTAATATAATAAATATTTCCCACATATTTCAACAATTTAAATTCAAATTGTTTTACTATTTTTTTAGGCGATAAGAAAGTTACAAATTATAGGCTAATTATGAAAATAGTTTTAACATTGAAATTACAAATTTAATATTAAAAATTGATTCATAAAATTTACTATTGATGTGTGGATAGTGTGGAGGTGTTGTGTGATGTGTGTAAATTGTATGTGTGTGGGCGGGGGTGTGGGTTTTACCACAAGCGTTTATACTATTTTACATTCAATAAAATTATATAGTAAAACAAACGTAAAGTTTTTACAAACCTTTATTTACATATGAATTAAAATCAAATAAGTTATTATTAATTTAAATGTCATCACGTGATGGTAAACCCAGTGCTGATATACTACACCAGACATAATAAAATATATAGTTTTGCATATTTCTGGTAAAATTTAAAATGGTTTGGGTTTTGGCCACAAATACAAGCTTAATATTCAGTAATGAATTGACATTTTAATATAATTGTGGTAAAAATAACCGATATTTACTCATATTTAATACTTTTCTTGTGAATTTTGAATTAATTTCCAGTGAATTGAATTTGCTGTTAATTGTAATCATAAATGTCACAATTAGATTAAATCTAAAGCATACTTTGATTTTCTACTGGATTAATACGTATTTCGTATTTAGTAATATTTTAGCGTAATTTGGTGTAAATTAAAATCACATTAATTTTATAAAATAAAATTTTAAATCAAAAATATCATTTATAAATCTCAACAGAAACTGAAATATATTTTATTACGGTATTAAAAACTCATACAAAACTTCATAAAATTATAAAATATACGCTATATTTACAGAATATTCTCAATATTCTTACACATCGCTCAAAACCTATAATTAGTGGTAAAACGGGATTACATTCCTGAATACGCGGGTCCGCCTCCGCCTAAAGGGTTACCAAAAAAGACAATAAAACAAAATTAATATACAAGTCATCAATCAATCAATATATGGCTCTGTTACCCTCCCTTTGTTTGTCTGGAAGTCCACATTGGGTTAACTACAAGACGCTGCCTAGGAATTATAGTGTGCAAAATGTCACTTATGTTAAGACTCGCAACTAGACTTCGAAGACTGGTGGGCTGGTCTCGTCGGCGACGAACTCATAAACACCCGCCGGACAGAAGCGGCCTTCGGGTCCGTCATAAACGGCCAAATTGGTGGCCACCGGAACGCTATCGTCCATAAGCGTGAGATGCGCCGGTTGGTCGCCCTCGTGGTTAGTGCCCGTCAGCGCCACCGACGACAACAGATCAAACGTCACCTTTCCGTCCGGTTTCGGGTACTCAATGGGTGCGCACTGTTTGGCCGGCTTGAGACTGGTGTGATCGGGCGGCCCGTGTTTCAGTGTCCACGGCTCCAGCCCTCTGAGGCCCACGTAGAAGAGGCCCGTGTAGGCCAACCCGCCGTACAGACCGGCTTTGGTGTGAAAGGATGGCCGCACATTACGGGCCGCTTTAAGCTCTTTCCACACCCAACTGTTCCGAAGGTTTTGTTCGTATTCTTTGGGTTCGTATCCGATGTGGAGTTTGTCGGCGGCGAACGCCTCGTAGACGGTGTCGGCCGCTATCATCGCCGACTTCATGGCGTTATGCGTTCCCTTGATTTTAGGCATATTCAAAAAGCCCGGACTATCGCCGACCAGACACCCGCCCGGGAATGTCAGCTTCGGTATCGACTGGAAGCCGCCCTCATTGAGCGCTCGGGCGCCGTAAGCGATCCGTTTGGCCGCCGGTGAGTCGAAGTACGGCCGGACAGTCGGGTGTAGTTTAAAGCGCTGGAACTCTTTAAATGGACTCAAATAAGGATTTTGATAGTCGAGTCCAATGACAAACCCGACGGCAATCAAGGGTTGCGGTTCGTTCAGGTGGTATAGGAATGAGCCGCCGTACGTGTCCTTATCCAACGGCCAGCCGACGGTGTGCTCCACTCGTCCCGGTTTATGTAGAGCCGGATCCGTCTCCCAGACCTCCTTCAGGCCGATGCCGTACGACTGGGGCTCGCATTTGTCGCGCAGATTGAACTTCTTGTACAGCTGTTTGGCCAGCGATCCGTGACAGCCCTCCGCGAAGACCGTACACTTGGCCCTCAACTCCATTCCCCTCTCGAACGAGTCCTTTGGCGAGCCGTCCTTTTTGATGCCGACATCATTGGTGGCGATTCCGCACACGTTTCCCGACTCGTCGTACAGTATCTCAGCCGCGGGTATACCCGGGTATATGTCGACACCGAGTTCCTCGGCCTGAGCGCCCAACCACTCGACCACTTGTCCCAAACGGACGACATAATTGCCGTGATTATAGACAGGCATTCCCGGCAATACCGGTATCTTTATGGACGCCTTTTCCGTGAGAAAGCGGAACACATCGCTAGTGACCGGTGTGTTGATCGGTGCCGACCGGTCCCTCCAATCGGGTATCAATTCGTCCAACGCTTTGGTCTCAATACAGGCGCCCGAAAGCGTATGCAAACCAATTTGCGAGGCCTTCTCCACCAAAGTCACTCTCAGCTCCTTCTGGTTATTGTTGGCCAACTGTTTCAGCCGAATGGCCGCCGACAGGCCGGCCGGTCCTCCGCCGACGATCACCACCTGAACGGTGGAAATAACGGTAAAGAATATGCGTTAAAATATGTCATGTGTTGTCTGTTTGTGTCTGGTTTTGACGCCACTGAATGTAGGCAGAGCAGCTGGTGAGAGAGGTAACCCTACAGAAAGGTAGCGACCAGTGGTGAAGACCCGTGGTGACTCATCACTCACCAATAGAAGCCTACGCTACGGTCTGTGGCTGCCGAAGGCAGATCATTCTTCCGCAGCCGATGGCAGCGGCAGACAATTGGCCTCCATTTGGACACGGATTGAGTATATTTATACATTAGTTATCATAACACGTGGCGATCACTAAATGAGACCAATTGGCGGACAATTAGTTTAATTTAATTAATAATAATTTTAAAAAAGTATTTTTGAATTCAATACACACCACAAGTCTTGTGAATGGGATGTGATCTTTGGATGCGCTGCGGACTCGATGTCAAAGTGCACTCACATGTACTCTGAAGAGTACCAGTAGTGTAGATATGATCTGATAATGGGATTAGTTATCAAATAATGTGTTTATTTTAATTGCAATTATAATCACAACCAAAACTTTGCACTCAATTTCAGTGGTAAACAAATCACGTGACGTCACTCTCACCCGGACTTTAGCTTTTTGAGTACATTTCCTATACGTTTAACATTAGACACTAGTTTTCTGTGTTAATCCTATGGCAAGGAAAGAGTTTTGTGTGCATTAATTGTCTGTTTAATTGTGGATCAATTGCCAGATAATTGTTTTCAATAGATATTTGAAAGACTTGTCGTGTATTTCTGTAATTAAAATTAGTTTTGAAAACTTTTTGAAACTATTTTTTGCTCTCAAAATCAATGATAAGCGCCGATAGAGCGCGTGCTTAGCGTTAAACCCAATGGCATTTGCGTTCACACAATAATAACGTCTCGAAAAACAGCAAAATATTTATCAAACATTGCATTGAAATACATGTGAAACAAGGGGTCAAACTCTGCGCCCCTTTTGGCACATAATTTATGGCCAAAACATAACACAAAAACATTTTTGCCATAAAAATAAACACAAATTGTTTTCTGCAGTGAAAACAACTCTCAATACAAATATTTTTCACATCAAAAAAATGGCGACTCTTTTGGTCTGAAAAAACTGTTTGTTTGACTCTTTTGGACACATCTTGGGATCAGATTCGCAGTGATATATCCGTTCAGACCATTACAACCCCACACTCTCTCACCACCCGATGGTTATACGGCTCGGGATGTGTTGACAATCGTTTTGGCCGATCGGATAGAGACTAAGACAATGGGTTTGTATATACAGCTGATTATAGCCATAACTGATCACTAATGACATCCCTGTCCACCACCGCCGCCGCCGACGACACCGCAGTTTCCATTATCTGTCAGTGTTTAGGCCACTGTCCGGAGAATGAGCCGAACGGCACGTGTCTGTTGAAGAAGAATGGCATGTGTTTCGCCGCTATGGAGCAGGTCTTCAATCGCGAGACCCGACGGCTCGAGATGGAGAAGACGTACGGCTGTCTACCGCCAGATGACGGACACATTCTTCAGGTATGGCATCCGTTATTGGCTTCGCTGCGGACGCGCTGTGTGTCTTTGTATTGGCATTTGTCTAATGATTTGTTTGTTTGCCATATGTTGTGCCGCTCATCACATCCAGTGTAAGGGACATCTTGTGCCTCATGTGGTGCCCAAATCCATCGAGTGCTGCAATGATCACGACTTTTGTAATCTTGAATTACATCCGAATTACTATAATATTCCCGAAGTTCCTAACGGTATGTCAGACCACGAGTTATCACTCATTTACTCACTCACTCTCTGACTCTTCCCGTAGCGGACAATGAGAGCGAGTTCCTGTCCATAGACTCGACCCATCTATTGGTTTCACTCATCACTTCATTAATCGTTTTCATTATTTTATTTTGGATTTTATTCATCGCTTATAAACGATATAAAAGGTTTGGTCTCAAGAGTTTGATTACATTTTATAGTCTAATCGACTGTTTGTCTTAATTCAATGGATCAGATGTCACGAGAAGAAGCAAAACATCGTGTGTTTGTACGACGAGAACTTATACTGCTACTTTAGCCTGGTGAGCAGCTGGTGTCGGTGGCTAGCCTAACTACACTGTTAGTCAAGCCCGCCTTCGCCTGCCGGCGACAACCGGTCGTAATTTGCGTTGCCGTTTCCGCCGCTGATCTGGAAGGGTCAGCAAAAGGACAAAGCGTTCTTCAATTGCGTTGGCGGTGGTGTCAGTGGCGGCCACTCGTCCTCCGAGTACAAGAACTTCGGCGTCAGTGAGAAGAGTGCAATGGATTCGCTGTTTGTCGATAGTATGCGCTATAATATGAACGACTATAGCCTATCGCGCAGCGCCGGCGACTCCTACTGCGACCAATCGGTGACTTCGGGCTCCGGGTCGGGACAGCCGACGCTCATACAGCGAACTCTGGCCAAACAAGTGAAGCTCTACGAGTGTATCGGTCGCGGCCGCTACGGAGAGGTGTGGCGCGGCGTCCGCTTCTCCGAGTCGGTGGCCGTCAAGATATTCTTCAGCCGAGACGAGGCCTCTTGGAATCGCGAGACAGAGATCTACAGCACAATAATCCTGAGGCACGAGAATATACTGGGATTCCTGGGCTCCGACATCATGAATATGACGATGAAATCGGACCACTCGTCGACCACAGCCACCGATCGGATTGATGTGACAATCAGTTCGGGCGGAAGCGGACGGCCGCTGTTGGCCAGCATTAAACGCAACGGCAAAGGCGGCGACCCCTGGAAGGGTCAGCAAAAGGACAAAGCGTTCTTCAATTGCGTCGGCGGTGGTGTCAGTGGCGGCCACTCGTCCTCCGAGTACAAGAACTTCGGCGTCAGTGAGAAGAGTGCAATGGATTCGCTGTTTGTCGACAGTATGCGCTATAATATGAACGACTATAGCCTGTCGCGCAGCGCCGGCGACTCCTACTGCGACCAATCGGTCACTTCGGGCTCCGGGTCGGGACAGCCGACGCTCATACAGCGAACTCTGGCCAAACAAGTGAAGCTCTACGAGTGTATCGGTCGCGGCCGCTACGGAGAGGTGTGGCGCGGCGTCCGCTTTTCCGAGTCGGTGGCCGTCAAGATATTCTTCAGCCGAGACGAGGCCTCTTGGAATCGCGAGACAGAGATCTACAGCACAATAATCCTGAGGCACGAGAATATACTGGGATTCCTGGGCTCCGACATCATTATCAAAATATATTATATATTAATTTTGATAAATTTCTTATAAAAACAAACACTTGGGTTGAGAGAGAGAGAGAGAGAGAGAGAGACGTCAAAATCAATCAATTTGCAATTTTACATAAAATACATCACAATATTATTCATTTATAATTGGATTGATATTAAACACAATACACACGTGCCGTGTATTGGATGTGTAAAAACAAATTGAGTTATAAATTAAATTTGCAAATAGAAGAGCGATGTTCACAAAATAAAATGCAAACATTATTCCCACAAAAAAGCTAAATATTATAGTGATTTGTAGACTGAATGTTAATATTAAAAAAGTCTTTCATTTATTTGCGCTTTTAATACACTATACATAGAGTCGAAGAAAAGCCACTAAAATGTTAACAATATTTGCGACGATATAATGAATTGTTATATAGATTTCGCCTACAATTCAGCCCTTTTTCCGGAATCTCTCTCTCTCTCTCTCTCTCTCTCTCTGCGGTATTTATAGTGAGAGAGACAAGAGTTGGTTAAAGAAATTAATCAATTTTTTCCGTTTACTTCATATGAGTTCGTGAAATATAATTGAATTGAAATATTTATTTATAATAAACTAAACGTTTTCCCTTTAATATGGTTTCTGTTCGCTTGTAATGAAAATATTGAATAAATATTTTTGTTGAATAAAATATTCTCTTAAAGAAATCTGTTTTAAATAAAAAACGATTGAAATTTATCAAAATATATTATATATTAATTTTGATAAATTTCTTATAAAAACAAACACTTGGGTTGAGAGAGAGAGAGAGAGAGAGAGAGAGACGTCAAAATCAATCAATTTGCAATTTTACATAAAATAAATCACAATATTATTCATTTATAATTGGATTGATATTAAACACAATACACACGTGCCGTGTATTGGATGTGTAAAAACAAATTGAGTTATAAATTAAATTAGCAAATAGGAGAGCGATGTTCACAAAATAAAATGCAAACATTATTCCCACAAAAAAGCTAAATATTATAGTGATTTGTAGACTGAATGTTAATATTAAAAAAGTCTTTCATTTATTTGCGCTTTTAATACACTATACATAGAGTCGAAGAAAAGCCACTAAAATGTTAACAATATTTGCGACGATATAATGAATTTGAGATTTAACTTTGTTATATAACTCTCTCTCTCTCTCTCTCTCTAACTATATTTTAAGCCCTAATGTAACTTTAAAAGCCATTACATCCGGTGCCGTACTGTTATGTTCGGGGAATGGAGTCAACTCATAGCTTAGCGATGGAGAGAGAGAGAGAGAGAGAGAGTCAGTGACTCAACACACGAAGTCAGTAGTGAATAGAAAAGTGAGTCTAAATTTTTTATTAGTCGTCTCTCTTTGATAAAAATCTTTCACTCAATTGAAAAATAAAGAGAGAGAAAGGGAGAGAGACTGTGAGAGAGAGTTATATAACAAAGTTAAATCTCAAGTCATGCGATGCCATAGAGTTTTCATATAAAAATTGCTGTTTCGATAGGAGTGGAGAGTTTGAAGTGAAAAATATATACACAAAACACACACAAAACTAATACTCGATTGGCGTATAAAACTCTATAACTCATAACCTCGAGGTCTTATCTTTAAAAATATATATACTTTTTGAGTATACTTTATATTTTGTGTTGATTTGATATATACTGTATGGGGAATGAAATATACACTGACTTCAGAGTGTATAATAATTTTAAGACATAAGACTAATGCTGAAAATTGATAGTAATATACAAGAGTTATATGTCTTTTCCATTTCACCCCAAAGTCTCCCCCAATCGCCACACAAACAACATATAAAAAATCTCTTTACGTATTCGTCTCATGTGTTTGTGTCGTGCAATATGTCTGAGAATTGTATGCTTTCTTAGATACTGAAGAGAGAGGAGAGAGAGGAGAGAGAGAGAGAGAGAGAGAGAGAGAGATTCTTAAACTTTCTCTCAGTGTTGCACAAGAAGTCTCTATTAATTTCTCATAAGCTCTCTCTCTCTCTCTCTCTCTCTCTCTCCGGTGTCTGAATTTTCTTTATTTTTTTGTGAACGCATGGCTTGAGTTCCATATATTTCTCATAAGATTTTTCTCTTTCAGTATTTGAGATATTTATTGCTAAAACAGAGGGAGAGAGAGAGAGAGAGAGAGAGAGAGAGAGAGAGCTCCGGGAGTGAGAGTGTAGAGTCCAGTCGCGTGTGAGTCCAGACAATGAATAGAAAGTATCCATTACTAGATGTGGCCTAAAAGGAAGGCTCGTTCGGCACTTATATGTGGCACAAAAATAGTCGTTTACCCCTATGTTTGCGATGAATGAGAGAGAAAGAGAGGGACAGCGGAGGGGAACGGGAGGAGAGATGAGGAACAGAAGGTTGAATGAGAAGTTTGAGAGTCGGGAATACACTGGAAGGGAGAGAGCGCTCACAAACACATAGAAAGTTGGAGAATATAGTAAAATGTTGTGTTCAGTGAATGAATGCAATGCCTGCGAGCGGTACGTGCTCTCCAACATCTCCTCCTCTTTCTCTCTCACTCTCTCCCTGTCCTCAGTCTCTCTCTCTCTCTCGTACTCACACTCCCGGAGCTCTCACACGCCATATCCTTCATAGAAACGCGTAAAATGTGTGCGACCTCTGGCTCTCTCATTGCCGTCACACACAATACTCTCTCCCATTCAACCTCCGGGTGCTATTAGTATACGCGCAGTGTCTCCACGGATCTCTCTCTCTCTCTCTCTCTCTCTTCTGGACTTTTTAGACTTTTAGAGCAGTGAGCGCTCAAACAGTGACAGCTGGCCTACGGGCGGGTGTGCTCTCCACTCACTCACACTGACACTCACTCTCTCTCCTTATGTCTCCCTATTTATCCATAAGAAACTAATGCACAGCCAATAAGTTTGTGGAAAAAAGTCTTCACAAAACTCCTTAAAACGCGAGTACTGTTTGTCCGTATATTTTGGGCACAAAAATATGGTAAAATCTTTGGCTCCCTTTTTAGTCAACAAATAGTGTGTAAAAAGTTTATTTGGAAAACGGTTTTCGGTTTTTCGCCTCAAAAGCCATTTAAAAGTAAGAAAACGCAGAGAGAGAGAGAGAGAGAGAGAGAGAGAGAGAGAGAGAGAGAGAGCA